GATACGTACACACACACACAAACACACACACAATAAACAAATTTCAAAAAATGTATTATATTTGAGGAAGAAGCATGGAAAGTTATATCATGTTAATTAGTAGAGGTGATAAACATTATCATTGAAATCTACATGATGATTTTATAGACATACACAGGCACCAAGGACACAAGTGCAACCGATTATGACTAGTAATAATCAGATACATACAGATTAGAGATGCATCCGCCATCATCTCAGTGTTAGTAGCAAAAACAATGAGTCTGTCTGTAAGGAACAATATATTCTAAAATGAAATGGAGATCTTTTTTAAAGGTTAAAAAACTCATTCAATTTTATGTCTTACAAGGGCTTACACTGAGTTCAATACTGTATTAACTCAACTGTGAATCTAGAAACTTGCACCCACTTGTGAAAGAGATGTATTCCTGCTCTGGAGTGTGTTACTGAATATGTTAAATCTGTAGTGAAATGCCTCTTCTAAACAGGAAGTTATTAGAAATTTTTAAGAAACTTGCACCCACTTGTGAAAGAGATGTATTCCTGCTCTGGAGTGTGTCACTGAATATGTTAAATCTGTAGTGAAATGCCTCTTCTAAACAGGTAGTTATTAGAAATTTTTTAAAAAATGGTCAAGGCACTAGAGAGATTGCTCAGTGGTTAAGAGCACTTATTGCTTTTGCAGAGGGCCTGAGTTCAGTGTCTAGCAACCACGTGGCAGCTCATATCCACCTGTAACTCCAGCTCCAAGAGAGCTGATGCTTTTTCAGCCCCCAGGAACACCAGTACATATAGCAGACACTCAAAAACACAGACATGCACAAACACACACAGAGGAATAAAAATAAAGAATAAATCTTTTTAAAAAAGAGAATCTAATTAACATTTTCCACACAATTAGGTTTTTCTTGTATTCTACTATTTCTCAAATGAACAAATTAAAAATACAACTATCCTTAAAGAAATGAATACATCATGAACTGAAAAAAAAGATACTCTTCCCCAAAAAACAAACTTAAAAACTTACAAAAGCAGCAGGCTTTCCTCGAAATCCTCTCGTACACTGTTGCCTCCATGGCTTCCAAATAATGAAGCCCAAAAGGTACAGAACAAACATAGATGTTTTGGCAAAGGTGCTGAAGAATGGCTTGTTGTACTGAGTGAAAACATACTGCAGAAGAGAAGGTTACATGGACAGCCGTGAGACAATTTAAAACCTTACTGCCCAGCTCCATCTGTCATCTTTAAGTCTAAGTAGTGCCTTGCATAGAAAAGATAATATTGTCAAATAAAGCAGCAACAATCTTCAACAATATTTTTTTCCTCAACATCTACCAAAGGCCTACCACGCAAAAGTATCTGTATTATAAGTTAAAGAAAAATAAGGTAGGTTTTCCTGACCCTGAGGAACTTACAGTCTAATAGAGGAGACACAGACGAAGAAATGTGAACACACCAAAAAGATAAAGAACAAGTGGAAGGCACAGAAGTTTCCCAAGAGGCTATTTTCCACATGTACATGCATAAGAGTGCACATGTGTTTGTGCGTTCACATGTACATGTGTGCACATGCATGTGAAGGCTAGAAGACAACTTCAAAAGCCACCCACATTTTAAATTTATTTATTTATTTTTATTTTATATGTATGAGTGTTTTAGCTTCATGTACGTAAGTGTACCTGTGTGTACAATGTTTACAGAAGCCAGAAGAGGGCATGTTGATTCCATGGAACTGGAGTTAAGAATGATTGTTAGCCACCACATGGGTGCTGGGAACTGAACTTGGGTCCTCTATATGAGCAGCCAGTGCTCACTGAGCCTTCTCTCCAGCTGCCTATCCACTTTTTTTGAGGCATGGTCTCTCACTAGCCTGGAATTCAGTAAGCTAGGCTGGCTGGCCAGTAAGCCCCAGGAAGTAGCCAATCTCTGCTTCACCAGTGCTGAAATTACAAGTGTATACCACCACTACCATGCCTGGCTTTCAAGGAGCTATTCTTGAGCTGTGTGCAATGGCTGAAGAAAAGTCAGCCTATGCAGAGGAAACAGCATTTTTAAAAGGCAATGAAGCAGAAGAGCATATGAAGAATATCATAGGAATTTCAATGTTATTAAGAACTTATATAAAAAAACTTTAAGTTTCTTTTAGATTGTGTGAAAATAGCATATTCTGTTTTGTCACCTAAGAAGCAACAACAAAAACCTAGTTACATTCACTGGAAAGTGCCTAGAAAGATGACAAGTGAGGAGAAAAAAAGCAACCTCAGGGTCTAGATGGCAGCCTGGACCATTTTGCACTAAAAGAAATCATAGTTCTTGGCCAGGCGTGTAGCACATGCCTTTAGTCGCAGCACTTGGGAGGCAGCGGCAGGTGGATCTTTATGAGTTCAAAGCCAGCCTGGCCTACAAAGTGAGTGCCAGGCTAGCTGAGGCTGTAGGGAGACCCTGTCTCAAAAAGAGCCCCCCCCCAAAAAAAATCATAGTTCTTAGAGGCAATGGCCAAAATTCAGAGATGGGGCAGGAAATGTACAAGATGAGCCTAGAGAGTCTGGAGCCAGAAGGCAAATGAGATATCTAAAGCTGCAGTCATATGAGAAGGATCTCAGAACCAACCAGAAGAGGCTTGATGTAATGAAAGTTAGGACAGTTTAACACAATCAATGACTAGCACAACAAATGACATTGGTGCAATAATGCCACTTTTAACTTGGGGGTAATCAACAGCTACCTAATTGGACTTAAAGTTCACTCAATGCGAGGAAACTCAAGTGTGTAAACCTAGCCAAATACACACAGCTGAAGAGGTCATAGATCTTAGAGAAAACCCAAGGCTGTCAATCCTTAGACAAATGTAATTTCTTACTATGTGTGAAATATGAAACCTTAAATTTACGGAGTGTAGGTCTTTAGACAGGTCTCCTATATTAAAATCCACCTGCCCAGGGCTCAAGGACCATTGCAGAAGACACAGGGGAGGGGAGGTTGTAAGAGCCAGGGAGGCGGTGTATAACCATATGGAAATAGAGTCCTACAGGCTCCTGGGACTCTTCCCATATGAATCTATAGCAATGGTGTCAGCATCCACAAGACCCATGCAAACCGAAGCAGACAAAAACCCAGCACAGAACTATGGAAATGGACAGCAGGCCCCAATCTCAGTCAAAGCATTACTGGTAGCTGATTACTGCTGGGTGAGAGAGAATTGATCTTAAAAGGAGGGATTCTAGAAAGGCTGACTAGACCTCAGTGGATGAACTTGCACTGAGGGACAACTGGGGACAGTACCTTAACACAAATGACAGAATGTATGAATTTCACTTGGGGGGGGGGAATATGGGAGGGGGGTCAGCAGAGAAGGGGGTACAAAGAGGATTGAGATATTCTGCATGAAATGCACAAAAATTCAATACAAAAATATTTTTAAAAAGAAAGTTAGGAAGGTTTAAGCATTAAAACATAGTGATTCCAATAGTCCAAGGTAGCTATGAAATATATAACATATGTAAAAACTCATGAATTACAATGATGCTATAAAAAAGACTCTCTGTGGTTCCCACTGGAAGTTGCTAGGCAATACTACTCTAAAGTAAAAAGAAGGGGGAAATAACCCTAGAGTAATACACAGGTGCATATGACCTGTGTTTCAGGAAAACCAAATAGTAGCGGGGAATTTATCTCAAAAGTCTGATGTGTTTAGCAGGCTGAAGATTTAGGCCTATTACAACTCTGAGATAACGAAATTATAAAATATTCTCTTGATTTTACTTAAAAATATGGTTTCTAGCTTTGCTGAGGTATATAAGTAAAAACTATAGCTGGGCCCAGTGGTATACACCTATAATTCCAGAATTTAGAAGGACATTGCCTAGGAGACCTAGTGAGTTCCAGACCAACCTAAGCCATTAGAACCTGCCTTAAAATATTAAAAACCAACTAATTAAACAAATCAAAACACACCCTGAAATACATTTACTGTGTACAATATAGTATTTTGATAAATGCATGAACTGTGAAATAATTATCAGAAGCAAGTTGGTTGGATTTTTTTAAAACCTATAGACATGGGGGCTGGAGAGAAGGCTCAGTGGTTAAGAGCACTGACTGTTCTTGCAGAGGACTGGGTTTGATTCCCAGCACCCACATGGCAGCTATGAACTGTCCTTAACTCCAGTTCCAGAGGAATCTGATGCCCTCTTCTGACCTCCGCAGCATTGCATTACACACAGGTGCACTCAAATACATGCAGGCAATACACTCATACACATAAAATAAATTAAAAAATTTTTTAAAAACCTGTAGACATGAATTGTTCAATTATATTTTAATCTAGTAGTTCCTTGTTCTAAACCTTTCTACCTGAAAAATAAATTCACTTAATATTACAAAATTTAAAAGTGAGATTTAATACCCTGTCAACATTAAGGAAATTTCTCTAAAGCAAAACTACAAAATGTTCATCTAACAGATCACAGAAGAGTTTTTCAAGCAAAAACAAATGGCCTGTAGTGTTCCAGAGCTTAATTCGATGGCAATATATAATTTATATATAATTAATTATGAAAATAAAAGTTGCTGTTAGGCCAGCAAGATGCCTCAGTGGGCAAAGGCGCTTGCTGCCAAGCCTAACAACCTGAGTTTGAGCCCCAGGACCCAGTTGGTAAAAGAGAAGAACTGAGCTGAAGAGATGGTTCAGCAGTTAAGAGCACCAGATGCTCTTGCATAGGACTCAGGTTCAATTCCCAGCACCCACACAGGGGGTTAACAACTGTCTGAAACTCCAGTTCCAAAGGATCTGATGCCGTCTTCTGACCTCCGTGGGCATTACACAAGACAGGTACACTTACATACATGCAGGCAGTAACACTCATACATGTAAATAACAAATAAAATATTTTAAAAAATAAAAGGGAAGAACAAAAGTTGTCCTCTGACCTCCACACAAGAGCTATGGTCTGTACACACACTGAGACACTAAGTAAATAAAATTATAATGAATAAGTTTCTGCCTTCTTACAGGATTCATTTTCCATCAGAATTAAGTATACAAATAGAAAGTAAAACTAGCTTGTGAACTCTCAAATTACCACACTACTACCAACAAGTCATCAATTACTGTAAAACTTAACTGAAGCCAAGCATTATACACTGTGCACCTCATTTGAGTCAGCAAATAAATAAGTGTGGATGCACCAATGCATGTACATGGATAACTGTGACCTGTACATGAAAAACCTGATGTCTCATATGCATTTGTCCAAAAGCACGCTTTCTTTTTTAAATTTATCTTTTGTGTGGTGTTGCTGGGGTCCTGCATGCTAGGCAAGCACTCGCCTAAGCTACATGCCCAGACCCAAAGTATCCTTACTTTTTACCAGACAGTAAAAGACTGTTTGCTCCTAAATATGTGTTCACTACAAAACAGCATTTATGGAGAAATAAATCCAATTTAGAATAAAAGAGAACTACCTTTACATGGTGAAAAAGCATGAATATTCTGAGTAATGCTCTCTATAAGATACAAGAACACTGCAGATAGGGCTGGAGAGATGGCTGAGTGGTTAGCAGTGCTTATTGCTCTTGCAGAGGACCAGAGTTTGGTTCCCACTACCTATGTTGGATGGTTCACAACCACCTGTAGCTAACTCCAGCCTCTGTAGATACCTGCGCACATGTCCATACATACATGCAGGCGCGCGCGCGCACACACACACACACACACACACACACACACACTTTTTTTTAATTGCAGGAAACAACAAATAGTATCTCAGTTTTAACCTTAAATGACACTAATTAAGTCAAGGAAAACAAATAATTCAACAATATTTAACGTACTGCTTTAAGTGTGAGGCAGTATGACGAGAGATACTATAGGTTAACAGGAATTCTGTCATCATTAACACAACATCACTGGCAAAATGCTACAGGTTAACATTAGTTCTGCTATCATAATGCAACATCGTTGATGAGGAAGTACATACCGAGGTGAGTTCAGAGGACGCCACCCAAATCACATCAACCAGCAGGAGAATCACTATCCCCAGGGCCATTCGCCTGCGCTGACTGAAGCCACTGTTCTGGGAATTCATGCGGTTCATGATAAATACACAAACCATTTGCAGTCTGTTATTTTAGAAAATAGAGACCTCATTAGAGTCAATTTTAGAAAAAGAACCATATAACGTTCTGAAAAAGGGTTTACATAAAGGCCTGGATTCAGCACATGCTCACAATGAAATGTAATGTACCTTGTTGTCAGGGCCTCTCTTAGATCCTCAAATGCAATGTCAGCAAAACTGGCAGATATCAGTCGAAATGGAAGTGAAGAACTCAGCCCACCTAAAACACCACCACAGAAATGAGCTTAGGAAAATGTCAACAGTAGCAAGTTCACCACATCTTTTTCACTCTTCCTCATCTTCAATCTGAAAGACCACCAACATGTGTTAAATAGAAGCCACACTTTGCTCTCAAGTTTTATGCTATCCATTGTACACTTAAGATTTTACTCAGAGAGCTGGGGAGTGGCTTGACTAATAGAGTGCTTACCTAGCATGTCTGAGGCCCTGGGTTCCGTTCCCAGCACCTTATAACCAGGGCATGGGGGCACAAGACTGTAATCTTAGCCCTTGGGAAGTAGGGGAATGGGGGTAGGAGAATCCGAGGTTCAAGGCCAGTCAGTATAGTGAGTTTGAGGCCAGCCTGGACTACAAAAGATCCTATCTGAAAACAACAACAGCCAGGCGTGGTGTTGCACGCCTTTAATCCCAGCTCTCAGGAGGCAGAGGCAGGTGGATCTCATGAGTTCAAGGCCAGCCTGGTCTACACAGCTAATTCCAGGCCAGTTGGGGGCTACAGGGAGACCCAGTCTCAAACAAAACAAAACAAAACATAAACAAAAACAAAAGACAGCCTGGGGTCGGAGTTCAGTTTAGTGGCTAGTGTTTGCCTAGCATGCACTTGCTTCAGTCCCCACACTGCATAAACCAGATGGGGTGGTACAGGCCTATCCTGTGACCGCCCCGCCGCCAGCCTGGAGATGGAGACAGGAGGATCAGATGTTCAAGGTTATCCTCGGTTACAAAGCGAGCCCCTGTCTAAAACAACAAAAACTAGACTCAGAGAGCCAGGTCCTCAGCACCTGGAGTTAAAAGGACAGCATTCAACATATGGCCATGTAAGAGTCGCTAACTGTGGGAAGATGGCTCCTCAAGTGTCACAGACACGACTGGACTCGGCTGCTCCTCCCTCCAGGACTCCAGCCCCGGGGGCAGCCTGCACCTCAAGGTCTTTTCTCCCGGGGATTCGGCCCTCTGACGGGAAGTGGTGTGCCAGGTTCCACTCCCTCACGTGAGGACGAGGGTCTTCCCAGCTCCCACCCGCCCTGTCACTACAGCCCCAGGACGGCGGCGAGCAGCTGGAACCAGGAAGCCTGCTTCGGGAGCGGGAAAGCGGAGGAAAACGCAGCTGTGCTGCCTCCCGAGGGGGAAAATGCACCGGTGTCGCCTCCCGAGGCCACGGACTCCCGCCCTCACCTACCTGGCCTTCCTGCCCGGCGATGGCGTTGTGGCGGCACCATGAGCGGCCCCGGCCGGGCCCGCGGCACAGCGCCGCCGCCTCAGACCGCCCGCACGGAGTCCCGCATCGCGCCGCGCCAGAGGCCCAACCTCGGAAGCCGCGTCGCGCCTCAGCGCAGGCCGCAGCTGTCTGTCAAGCCAGTACTCGGCCGCGGACAGAGGGGAGTGACCCAGGCTACCGGACCTCGCGGGCAGCGACAGCCGCGGAGGCCCAGCTTGCGGCCCCGGCCCCGCCCCGCCTCCGAGCACAAAGCCCAGCGTGCCCGCTCTGCCGGCCCCGCGCCGGGAGAATCAGCCTGCGCCGCGCACGGGGGAAAGGGCTGGGAACCAAACTTTTTCTGCCCCGGAATGGACGCGACCGGTCAGCCCGCCAGGCTCCGCCCCCGCCAAGTCACCCATTCAGGCCCCGCCCACGAGCGGCCAACCAGCAGCTAGGCCTCACCCCTGTATGGCCAACCAGCTAGGCCCCGCCCCCGACCAACTAACCAGGCCCCGCCCCTGGCCAGCCCCGGGCCTCAGCCTGAAGAACCCAAGCCCGCCCTCTGCGTGTCAACCGGCCAGGCCCCGCCCCCAGACAGCCAACCAGGCTTTCCCCCACCCGCTCCGCCCTGGGAGCCTCGGGGCCTCGCCCAGAACAGCAGACGCGTCATTTATGTTACTGCGGCCCCAGTAAGGACGCATCTCTAGGGTGATGGAGGCCTAATGTGGACTCTAGCGCGGGGCAGGACACTGCCAGAGGAGATGGAAGTGGAGCAGGGGAAAGCAGGCGTGGGTGTCTAGGAAACAGCCAAGCCTAGGGGACGCCGCCAGGCATCCTTCCTGCCCCGCCCTGGATAGAAAGCTGACAGCTGTTTTCTCCAAAGTGCACCAAACTTTTGGAATCCCTTTCCAGAAAAGACAGGCAGAGTGGCTTGGCACGCTTCGAATTCCTGGAATATTTTTGCCCCCTGCTCTTGCAGTTACAAGCTAGGCCAAGTTACCTCTCTGGCCCTCACTTTCCTCATCCAAAAAAGGAGGGGATAATGTTGGTACCTTTTGTTTTTAACTATCTTGGAGCTCCCATAAGAAAGGTTGGCCAGTATCCTGACATATTTAGAAAACAAACACAAGACTTAAGGGTTCTGTAATGTAACCAGAATTGTCTACCACAAAAGCATTGTTAACATCTTGGTCAAATGATGCAAAGAAATAAAATTTTCTTGTTCATATAGTCACAGTGTAGTTCATCCCTTATCTTTTAAGATTAGTCTACATATTGTAGTGACTAAAAGCAATAAAATGAACATTTTGTGTCCATTTTATTAGCATCAAACACTTCCAATCACTAAAAAAACCTATCTCTGGGGCTGGAGAGATGGTTCTGTAGGTCAGAGTACTTTCTGTAGCCCCCTGCCTGATGGTGCATGCCTTTAATCCCAGCAGAGGGATCACTGTGAGATCGAGGCCAGACTGGTCAGTGAGTCCAGGCCAGCCAGCTGGGGCTACAGGGAGACCCTGTCTTAAAAAAAGATCAAAAAGAAAAAGAAAAGAGAACTTTGCTGTGTAAGCTTAAGGACTTCAGTTCAGATCACTATCACTCATGTAAAAAGCTGGACTTGGACTTGTGCAAATTTGTAATCCCAGCACAGTGGAGGGCAGAGGTAGAAGGATCACTAGGTCTGGGTTCAATAAGAGGCTCTTTCTCAAGGGAATAAGGTACAGAGTGATAGAACAGGGCACCTGATGTGCTGTTCTGGCCTCTGCATGTAAACTCCTGCACACACACAGGCACACACACACACACACACTCATGCGCACACAAACCTGTAATTGCTAGGCCTTTTGCCTAAGATCATGCATACTGCCTGTTCTTACCAGTTTAATACCTGATTGGTCCTCTTTCCAAGGACAATATATTAAATGGATTTGGGGAGCAGGAAGATGGAATATGAGCTTGTCCATTCACACCACACCTGGAACATACATACTCTTGGGGTTCTTTGAAAAAGGGAAGGCTGGAGAAATGGCTCAGGGGAATCTGACACCCCCTTCTGACCTCTTTGAGCAGTACATGCATGGATATATATATA